ATCGGCGTCGAAGATGCCCTACCGCGTGCGCACAGCCCCCAGCGGCCCTGAGTCGACCCTTGGCCGCCCTGTGTGGCAGCTGCCGCAGCCGTCCAACCGTCTCACGGTTCTCGTTCATGGCGGTGGGGAGCTCCGAGTACTGGGTGGGGTGCGCGGTCTACCCTTTGCACGATAGTAACCGGAGCCGACCGCCATCTGCCGCCGCCGCCGCCGCCGCCCAGAGCAGTGTGTTTACCTTGGGCGGCTGGGCGGCGGCGGCAGGAGACCGGTTCCATGCCGCCGCCGCCGCAGGAGCGAGGCGCTGCCTGCTGGAACGCCCTGCTGCCTCCGCGGTCGGAGGGTCGGTCGCCGAACGACCGGTCGTGACGGTCGGACTGCTGACGTCACAGCGGTACTGGTCAGCTGATCGGCAGGTGCTGGGCCGGCCGACCTCGCCGGCGCGGCGGTAGGCTACCCGTGATGGAAGGCGCCGGGGTCGGCGGGCGCTCCCGGACCTGGGCTGTGCTTTAGAACAAGTGGCTGACTGCCGGCCTGGCTAGGTCGGTGGGCTACGGGTCGCGCGGCCCACTGACACGGAGCTGACTGGTCGGTCAACTGAGCGCTTCTTAGACAGCGGACAGGATGATGAGCAGGTGACTAGGCCGTTCCAGGTGTTAGCATCCTTCGGAGGGAGCTGTTGAAGTCCCTGATGAATCGCACTGATTTCGGGGAAACGAAGCTTCAGAAAGGCTGTTCTGTGATGAACATATTGCAAGTAAATTTCGTGTAGCTCACTTGAAATACACTTTCAAACCTGTTGTTTGTGCTTCTATATTTTGTTTGTTATCCTCTCTGTTAGCCTGAGACCCTGTACCCAGGCACTCAGTGATCATCGTGAGACCATCCACCACTCCCTGCCCTATGTAGCACCCTCTGCAGCTCCACCATCTCGCTGCGACCGTCCACTGTTTGTGATGACGTGATAGCGTCCCCGGCGCCGCCCCTGGCCGGCCGGCCGCTCTGTTTGTTTGGTCGCGGAATGTGACGCGACGCTGCAGCAGCCGCAGACGATCGCGCCGCAGCGCTGCATGACCGGAGACGATCGCACCGCAGCGCTGCATGACCGCAGGCGATCGTGGCGCAAAGCGATGCGGCTATTCGTCAGGACACCGGACGCCAGCGGGGTCACTTGGTGTCATTCAGCGGCGGTAGACAGGACTCTATGACACTACTGCGCCACTGTTCATGCAATTGTTTGCTGTTACACATGGAGGGTACCCGGCGCAGACCTCTGACCTGGCTTTGAATGGTATTGCGGTAGAGCTGCCAGTTTTCCTGCATGGATAGACCGCCCTCAGACGTGAGACTCTTCCAGACCGAACAAAGAATGTTATTCCTGGAGGAAACGTGTGGAATCCCAGTGAGTTGCACCAAAAACATCAGCTGTGAAAGCATTACGTTAGCCGGAGAATGGATCACCACGTCAGCGCGGCGTCACGTCGTGAGTCAAAGACCGCTGTTAGACCGTCCGAGGTTACGGGTGCACTGTGCTCTGTTGTCGGCCGCGAACAAATAGCGCCCCGTGCAGCTTTGTTTGACTGGCCGTGCTCGTCAAAACGGGCGAGTCGTATCGCCTTTGATACGGTATCGGCACCGGAGCAACAGCACCCGCGCGCGAACGGTGTGCGCGCTTTTTATGGCGCGCCATTATAGTGAGTCGCGGGGTTTTTGTGTGGTGGTGTGGTGACCACCACACCTGGCGCACGGGTGTGAACGGCCAGCCTCGGGAGGTAATACCAAGCGGAGACTGGAGGGCAAAGATCAGCGAGGTTGGGGATGGGCTTTACAAACACTGACGCGGTGTTTTGCTCCCACGAAGGCAGTAGATCATCATCGGAATTCTCTGTGATTCGGACCTTCATGCGATCGAGCGAGGGTGGATAGTTTATGAGCGGAGCTTTGTCCCCCGTTTGGTGGCTATCTGATCGCGGGCTCCCGTCATGCCTGTCAGCGCCGATAGTGCAAAGAACGGCTCCCCGGTGCACTGCAGCCTTGCTTTTTGTACGGCGCGTCCGTGTCCGAGCCGTATTAGGTCAGTGACGCACCGGGATGGGGGCGGAGGCATCTCACCGCGACTACAGAGTCGAGTGAGCGGCCATTACCGACCAAACGGCCTTCGTGGAAAGGCAGGCCGCGGATGAATCACACAACTTCACCATGTATCACCGTGGGAGGTCAGTAGTTCGCCCTGGGGTCACTAATATCAACGATGACCGGACAATGGCTTGGAGGCTGGCCATTGGTCACCGGAGCTGCAGTGCCGACGGCGCCGGTTGACCGATGGGTCACCGAGCCTCGGGTATCCGCTTACACCGGAAGGCGGCCAATTAGCGACCGGTCTCCGGGGCACGGCACTGTGTGTGCCCAGTGGCAGTGGGGTGCCGGTGGGCCGGCCGTCCCTCTGAGAAAGGGTCGCGGCGGCGGTGACGTGGGAACGGGTGACGGTCGGGGTTCCTGTGGTTACAGGCCGTGTGACTGAGCGTTAGGGTCGCCGCACTTGTCCGAGGCTTTTTAGCGGGCACGTAGAGGGGGAACCTGTAGTTATATCACCTCCGTGGTCGCTTTCCGCGTCGAATTCTGTGGAACCAGCGGCTGTCAGAACATTATCTGATCCTCTGCGGCCGGCCAGTAGCCGTGATAGTTCCAGTGACATCAGTTGTCTGGGGACTCTCTTCTGGGTAGGGAATGTAAGGGGAAGAAGTCGCGGTGGTTCACGGGAAATGTCCAGGACGAAAGTTAAGAGAACGTGAAGCTGAGGTGCTATGTCTTTGCCTTCCCTGTTTCGGAGGCTGAGTGATATAGACCTTCTTCTAAGGGATTTTATGCTCTGAGAGCTTCACAAAAGCTGCGTTTTGTAGCGTTCTTCTGCGTCTATTATTGGTTGCTGAAGGCTCTGAGGGCTAAGCTAAGCAGGATACTGTGGAACTAGACACTGTTGCCAGGGACGTGTTGCCGTGGGGAGGACTGGACCGATTGCGGCAAATCGGGTCGCCCGTCGCCAGCACTCTCTCCCGATATAGACGGCGGTGGGGTGTGTGCGTGACAGAGACACGATCTGGCGCCGACGGGTCCGGTCGGCCAGGACGAGATTGGCGCTCTGCGTGACCCAGAGACCGCCCCGCGGCCTGTGTGGACCAGCCCGACTCGGCAGAGTGACGGCCGGGTGACGGACAGGAGGGACGAGTGTCGGCGTGTCACGGTGTGACGTGTCGGTGGGTGGGTGTGACTTGACGCTGGGCGGGATGGAGTTCGTGGGCGGACAGGCGGACTGACGGTCGGGTCAGGGGTGGGCGGGACTGAGACCGTTATCCGTGATACACGACTGGCTGTATTCAGTCGATAGGTGCGGGTGTCTGTCAGCTCGGCAGCTCCGCCCGGCGGGTGAAGCTCAGCTCAGCTGGAGCGCCCGGTGACCGGTGGAAGGACCGGACCGGTCGGTGACGGCCGCTAGTACCCGGTGACAGTCGCTGCAGACCGACTGACCGCTGTCAGCCAGTGACAGTCACTGCAGGCCGGCAGGCTGTCAGTCGGTGACGGACACTGCAGCCGCTCTCTGTCACCACCCGGTGACCTCTGGTGACGACCCTGACGTCAATCGTCGCCGTCCAGTCCCACTGTCGACCTGCGCTCGCAGCCGGTCCTCGGGTCAGTCGGGCCGCCCACCGACTGGTCCGAGCGGCCTCGGTCAGCCGGTATTTACGTATTGCCAAGGGCGCCGCGGCCGCGACACTGATGACGTCACGGGGTAGCTAATGACGTCACTGGGGATCGGGATGGAGCACTGTCGACCGACCAGATTTATACACAGAGAAAAGACTCGACGGCGGACCGTAGTTGAAATACATTCGTATCCGTGACTGGGGTCCGCTGGCTGCAATATCTGAGCCCGATAAGTAGGCCGCTGAATGTGGATCAGAGAAACCAGAATGGAAAATGGAAATAAGATGTGGACTTTGTCTGAGAACGGAATGCATTGCCTAGAAATGATGATGATATGGAAACCTGATGCCTGTGTTATCTGGAAATAATGACGTGGTCTGATGGAGTAAGACGAGCATGCAATCGGATATTGTTCGTTAGTTGTGATTCTCTCTCGGTTGATCTTTACCTGGGAGGATTATCTGACCAGTCAGTCTCGCTGTCTGGTCAATCAGCCTCACTGCTTGTTATGCTGATTTCCCGGGCTGCTGGGCTGTAGGTCCCAGGCTGTGCTATTCCCGCCTGGTCTGACTGACGGTAAGGGAGGTGAACACTGAACAGGGGAGCCGGCGGCGCCTTCACGGCGCTGTCAGTCTATATTGAGCGGCCCGTTATCCTGGCCTTTGTTGGCTGGGTTAGGCTGTCAGGCCGGCGGGCGCGCAGCTGGCTGCTTTTTCCCCCTGGATCGCCGCTCAAATCTGGCTTAAGCCGGCGCCTACCCTATCGACCGTCCTATATCGCAGAATCAGCGCTCCGGGAGGAGATTGCGGAGACTTCTTGTGTGGGGAGATTGCCTGCGGTGGTGCCGCTGCGGCGCTGCTGACGTGGGGCGGTCTGCATCAGTGACGTCCAGATTGAGTTATCCGCGACATTAGCTGTCCTGTACCGCTGGCCGGTGTCATAGAAGCTGCCTTGACCTTTCAGCGTACGTCACATGCTCCCGCCCCTGCCTTTGCCACCGCCCCCTGCTCGCTCTGTTATGCTTTCAGCTGTTCACCAGATAACGATTATGTGTCTGCCGATTATGCCGGTTATTACATGCCGGATCCGGATGCCGGCGTGCGTTGCTTTGATGCGTGCATTTATGCCTCCCCTTCCTTCTCTCCCCTCCCCCTCCCCTCCCCCTCCCCCTCCCCCTCCCCCTCCCCCCCTCTCTCTCTCTCTCACTCACTCACTCACTCACTCACTCACTCACTCACTCACTCACTCACTCTTGCCATCAATGTGCTCTCCCCGTACTTACTCCCCTCTCCGTTGTTTCGACAGGCGTGGTGTACGAGCACCCCCGCATCGGCTCCGACGGAGAATCGGAGGAGGCGAGCGGCACGTCAGACGAGCTCACCAGTCCAGTACACGTCAAACTACGGCAGAGGAGGGACCGGGAACGGCGGCCCAGTGCTAACGTAAGGAGAACGGCCGGCTGATGTGGTAGCGAACGGCGTGAGGGAGGGTCACGGCACGAGACGGCTGTGACAGGGACAGTGAGCTTGTGGGGATGGGCGGCGCCGGAGAGAAATGAAAACGGATCAGAGGAGTGATCTGGTATATTATGTGCTACTGGGCTGAGAGGGAGGGCTGGTGGGCTCTTTGTCTTTCAAATGAATTTGATTTACTACTTGCTGCTAGGTCGCTAGGCGTTGCTCGAACCACGGTCGTAATGGGATGTATGCATGCAGTAAGGGCACTGGTTATACTGCATGACGCTGGCTACTAAAAAGACTGATCAAGCTGATGCATACAAGGAACTGCTATCGTCCAGAGGTCGCCGTAAAACGTTAGTCGCGATTCGGAGCGTGCCATTCCGATTGCCCAATGCCATTTCGCTGGTGCGGTGAATGGAGAGAAAGTTTTACGCACTCTGCCTAAAAACGTGGCCGCGCGCATTGGCACATGTGGAATCGTGCACGTCGGCAGGTCCGCTCTGTGACAACGTCCTTGGGAAACCGGTAGAGGAAGAAAGAAAGAGAAAAAGAGAGAGAGAGGGAGGAGGAAGAGAAAAAAGTAAGAGAGAAAAAGTGGAAAGAGGGATAAGAGAGGGATAGGCTGGATTAAAGGATGCGGAGGGTGAAAGGATCAGAAAAGAGAGACCGAAAGAGTCGTCGTTTCTGCGCTCTGGGCTGTTTGGGGAACTGCTTAGATGCATGAGCCGATAAATTGCAATCATCTGGAACCGGATTGTGAAGGTGTTGTCAGCACGTGTTTGACGCCGGAGGTACGACCTTGGATTGTGATGCATGCTGCGGACCTTGAGCAGCTGGGCGCTGGAATTCGTTAGCCGTGTTTGTTGGATGACAAAAGGTGATAACTTACCTGCCCGTCCTGTTTGGCAGCAATGCTAATTATTTCGTGATGTTTGCTGCTTGTGAACAGAGTTAATCCATTTAAGAGCCTGGATGAAGTGACGGTAGCTTTAAATTGCTCGATCCAAGCATCTTCAACAAATTATTGGCATCTTGCTAGACGACGATAGAAGGTTCAGTTTAAACTTTAATGTTTCACTCCGGGGTTCACTAAAAGAAATAACATTTAACGTCAGGGTAGAGCCACTGTGACTTTATCCCTGTCCCACTGATAAACTCTACATCTATCGACTATCGCTCGCAAGAAGTTCTCGAGGTCGTACCTTGCCAACGTCTGGTCTGGCTTTAAAGCATGCATTTCAAATGCGTCGGATCGATGACGCCGGGCTCGCTCGCACTGTCGAACTGGTCTACGAACCGTGGTTGTCGATCGTCGTACGGGTCACTGGCCAGTGGCCATGTTTGTGTCGGAGTCGCTCAGCGGTGGGGGGGGGGGGGGGGGAGGGTCTGTATCGACGTGTGGAACCCGTCCTACACTGCCCAGTGTAGCGTGGCGCCCCATCCCCAAAGTTGGCCCGGGTTTGGGTACGCGCTGTGGGAGGAGGGGGAGAGACTCGTGTGGGCGGGTGAGTCATTGCCGTCTCTACAGAGTGCAGCTGACCGTCCCTCCATGTGTCGGCATTTCATAATGTATCAGTCTGTTTACCTGTCTGTCTGTCGGTATGCCTATCTGTACGTTTTCTTATCCATCCGTTTAGACCTGCTCCAGCACCAGCTCTGACCGACTCCAACCAGACCCGGCGCCGATCGCGGCTCGCGCGTGACTCATAGATGCACGTGCACGGACTCAGGGGGAGCCCGTGAGCCGTGAGCCAACCGGCACCGCCGCCCGCCGCCAGACGGCCAGGTGGCAGCCGGCGACGCGCCGCTCGCGCCGCGATCGCGCCGTTTTTCGTCGCGCCGCGGCGCTGTTTGCCGTGCACGCGCCACTATCGGTGCCCGGCGCCGCCGTGTGGTGTCGGTCGACCTTTGCGTGCAGTAGCGGCGGGGGCGGGGCGGACCGTTCCGCCCGCGTGTCTGTGTGCCGACGGCGGCTCACCGGGTCGGCCGGTGAGCGTTCCTCTGCCGTGGAGAGACGCTCTGCCGCGGCGCGATCGTTCCGCTGTTCATCTCCTGTTCTGGTGACGTAGCCGCCTGACTGGTCCGGCGGAGGTGGCGCAGTGGCGGCCAGGGTGGCGCGGCGGCGGCAGTGGCGGCGCCAGCGGGCCCATTGCTGCCCGCGTCCATGCGCCGCGTCTCTGTCACGGTAGATATCGTTCCGGGGTGGGGCAGCGAGTGTGATAGCGAGTGTGGCGGGGGTGGAGTGGAGTGCGGTACGGGAGTGGAGAGTGGGTTGAGTGAGCTGTGTGGATTGTGAGTGTCGGCCATGTCAACTATCAGTTTTGCCGCGTATGGTGGATTCGCTCGGCTTGGCAGGGGTCTGGGAGTTTTGGGAGAGAAACAGTTGCCGAGTGGTGTGGTTAGGTTATGTGAGTGCTGTGAGTGCAGAGTGCTCTGTGAGTTATGAAAAGTGTTTCCTGTGCTCGTCAGTGTATGCAGAGTGACTCGTCCCCATTGAGGCAATGTGCTGTGCGCTGTGGCTATTTGCAGTGCAATGGATGTGCTCTGTTGTCATTGAACCCATTGTGAGGCTCCCAGCATGCATCATTGCATCTGCGCAGCAGGATGGTGTGCTTAGTTGGCTGTGTGTCAGTATCTACGTTCTCTGTTGCACCTCTTCTAAATCTACGAGAAGAGTATCTATTTTTACTACTTTTGCCACTTTTTTCTGGTTATTCCCAGAACACATCATGTGTTTAAGAACAGAGCAGCCCCCACACGCGCTGTGCGTGTTTCACTGCTCGCTGTTCACTGCTGCGTGAGTGTTCACCAGGCTAGAGGGCCTTGGTTCACCAGTGCGTGTGATTGACGGCGGTGAGTCGGCGCACCGGCGGCTGACTCACCGCGCCGTCACCTCCCCATTTCTCACCCGAGCTCGCCGGCCACGTGCCGAGTGTGACGTACGCTCCTCTGTCGACAGGAGATCAACAAACGGCTGTCGCTGCCGGCCGATCTCCACCTGCCCGAGTCTTTCCTTCAGAAACAGTCGCTCAGTCCGACCCTGGATGGGAGTCTGACCCGAGCCACCCGACGACAGTCACTCTCAGAGATCGGCTTCGGCCAGCAGGACACCTACATCAAACTCGACAAACTCGGAGAGGTGAGAGTTGAAAATTCGCGGACACCGTTGCCGGCAATGCTAAGATAGTGTGACAGACGTGTCCCAGTTTGCTTTTTCTGCGTCAAGGTTTTCATTTTAAAAGTGTCAATAATCTGACATGGCATCGACAGCACTTGCTCTGTCGGTTGTTTTTGTGTCAAAGTTAACCCCCGAGTAGTGCAGCCCAGCTGTGGTATTTTCCTTGCCATGGTCTTATCTCGCCTTCCTGTGCAACTGCCGGCCACTGCCGGCGATGTGGTGTGGCGACAGCGCTGTGCACCCGGGCCGCTGCACTCGGACACGCCGGTCTGACGGGGACGGATGCGGTAGTGCGTCCATTCATCTTCCTGTACGGTACTGCGCGGGGAAACTGGCACATCGGTCCTTCCCTGACGGGTGTTCAGTCGTGGGCCTCCTCGGCCTGGGGAGAATCTCGGCTGCGATGCGACCGCGCCAAAAAAGAATCTTGGCGTTGATATGGTGTTGTTAGGCAGTGGTTGTAACCTCGTGTATGTTTTGTTTGTAATTCATTGATAGAGGGTCAGGGAGAAGATGCGCATTTCGCCATGTGTTCGTTTCCGGAGACAGCTTATGTAATGATATCGTGAACTTCTGAGCTCATGCTGTGTGGAGCAGCAAACAGAAGATATTTATTTGTGGAGTCCCCAGCCGAGTTCTACGGTCCTAAGCACTTCGGTTCCGGAAACCAGACTGATGTTTTGATAGTGGAGATTCGTAAGTAGTAGCCTTCTCTGATGTTGTCGCAGTTGGCCCGTGCTCCCGTGTTTCAACATCCTTGGATTAGGTCAGGTTAGGGTCGGGTCAAGTCCGGTCAAGGCAAGTTAGGTCAGGACGGGTGGGATCAGATCAGGTCAGATTGGAGTTTGGTCAGATCAGGTCCTGTTGACCTATTTTTGTCGGTTCGTGTGAGGTGGGGGTTAGTTCCAGCTCAGGTCGGATCAGGTCGGGTCACCCTGACCGACCACGCGACTGTCCAGTGAGCGGGTGTTGGACACGGACCTGGCCTCCACAGCACAGTCGCACGTGCAGCTGGGGCTCCACCCCACACCATGTAAGGCTGTACCGGCCGGCCAGCCGCCGCTGCACCGTGCTATCCACGTGCACGCCGCCTCTCACGGCCGGTGTGAGGGTTCTGCAGCTCCGCCCCCGCCCCCGCCCCCGCCCGGCGGACCCGTCCCGGGCAGTCCGGCCGCTATCGTCGGCGCCGTGTTTTTGGACGGGTCCGGTGCCAATTAGGGCTTCCGGGCGGCGGGCCGCGCCGGGCGACGGTCGATACAGAGAGCTGCTCTGTGATACCGCTGCTGGACTGTCACCCCCGGAGGCGGCGGCGGAACGGCGCGGAGGAAATTAGCGCCGCCAGAGCCGTCCCCACCCCTCTGTCTCTGTCCCCATCTCTGTCCCCATCTCTGCTGCTCCGCCCCGCGGGCGCGCCTCTGAGGATCTTTGTTCGCCCACGGGATGGCGCTTCTAGTGAAGAGTTTGCAGCACGACCTCTGCCCTTTAAAAGTTGACGTCACCTATCTTTTTCTTCTGCTGTGTCCGTGTTCTCCCTCCCTCTCTCCCTATTCGCCGGCCCGCTCTTTCTTCACCAGTCACTGCCTGAGGGTCCTTCCTTACAGTCACGGCTCCTCAGCGCCGACCTTCTCAACACTAGTCTTCTCTCTTGATGGCTTATCACGTCCAATTCTATTTCTTTTCCTGTTTTTTTTTTTTCATCACCACTGGATAAAACCACCGCCACTACCAACGGTCTGAGCTCGCAGCAGCACTGCAGGGTGGTAAAAAATATGTTTATATTCTGTAGCTATCTTCCAAGATGTCGATGTTTTAATTCTTAGCACTTCGTAGTTCGTATAACATCACGGACAATGGTTCTATTTGCTCTCATCTCGGGCTAAAAGGATGAGTCCTTATGACCCCTCCCTGCAGTGGCCCGCGGTCCTTCCCCGCCCCTGCGCGGCCTTCAGACGACCTTGCCTGTGGCCGGGCGGCCGCCGTCTCCCGCGGTAGCCATCTCCATATGGATGGAGCCATTAGAGGTGCCATATTTTCCCGTCAGACAGACAGACAGCGAACATTCCCAGTACAGACTGGAATCTGTGCGGCTAATGGTAATGTGCGGTCCGGCTGGTGTAATTCTGTTGTGAGGGGCGGTTTGATGGTGTAATTTAGCACTCCGGTGCGGTGCGGTGTGTGCTGAATTTGCTGAGTCGTTGCACCTCTGAAGGAGTGGCCGTCTGCTGTGTGTATTCATGCATACATAAGAGCGTGCCCTGTTGTGGATGGTCACCTGTGTGTATCACTGGATCGACTGTCTGTTCGGACCAGGGCCGTATTCACGTCGATCTTTTTCGTAAGAATTTTCTTAAGTTTGACCTACTTCTTAAGTAAATTTTTTTAATCACGTGAACTCCATCGATAAAAACTTAAGAAGTGTCGACGTGAATACCAAATTATACTTACGAAAGAAAATCGACTTACGAAGTCGACGTGAATACGGCCCCAGAACGCCTCCCGTCGCCAGTGTGTCTGTTCTGAGGACACATCTACAAACCATATCTACCTCGGGCCTTGTCCGACCCGAGTGGCTTTCCTTCCTCCTGGTGCGACCTTCTGGTATTACCTTCTGGCGACCGCATTCGGCCGAAAGGCTTGTTTTCCTGACCACTCCCGTCTAGCATCATCTCTGTCGATCTCGTTACTATGATGTACTTATGTTTTTGTGTGTCTGTGTTATGTCTGCATCTGTCTATCCATATTGTCTTTTTGCCATATGTCGGTCTGTATATGTTTCCATCTTCAACCTTTCCCCTCCATCAAGACACCAAGCTCTGCCGTATGGAAAATCCGCCACTGACGTCTGTTCTCTTCCCACAGGGTACCTACGCTACTGTCTATAAGGGCAAGTCGCGACTCATTCCGAACCGGATCGTGGCATTGAAGGAGATTCGGCTGGAGCACGAGGAGGGCGCGCCCTGCACCGCCATTCGCGAGATCTCCCTGCTGAGGAAACTCAAACATGCCAACATCGGTCAGTGGAAGAATGGGAGGGATGTAACAGAAGGAAAGGGAAGGAGGGATGGAGGGAGAGATGAAAAGAGCTAGATAGGGAACCAGAGGAAGCGTAAGGTAAGGAAAGGCAAAGCGTTAGGAAGAGGGAAGAGTAAGGCAGGGATGTGATTGCAGAGTGATGATTGGTTGTCAGGTTTTGGCGCAGCACTGTTTGATTCGCTGTGAGCGCAGAAGGGGGCGTGACAAAGTAGACGGAAATGTGACGAAAGTCGATGTAAGAATGTGACATCCAGTTATTGCTTCTGGAGTTTTCGTTCGGTTATTGTTTATTCCCCGGTGGGCAATATCTGAGTACATTTGGCTCTTCAGGGGCATGCTGGGTTCCCGTTATGTAAGCAATCAGCTTCCCAGCAGTATCAGGAAAAATACTTGCCTGCAACAAGTGATATCCACTTGACATACGATCCTTATCACAAATGTCGTCGACGATTTTCCAATATCTTCGCTATCATAGCCAAGTTTATGAAAAACATTTTCCAAGATGCTTTCGTAAAAGAAAATGTGTTTATGCAAAAGATGTGTGACGATCAATGGCAAAAAAAAATCGTTGAAGGAATGCTGCCTAGGTATGCGCTCAATCGCGGACCTGCGTGGTGTGGTAATTACTAATTAGTTTTGCGCCTAATGGCCACGTCGGCAAACTAAGCGGCAACTGCGTCGTACTGCTGACATGACGCCTGCTCTGCTAGCCGGCCGTGCGGACGGCCGCGTCGCGGAGGGGCTAGGAGGGGGAGGGGATAATTAATGAATAAGGATATCACGTCTGACTGGGGGTAGCTGGGAGAGTGACGAACGCAGCGAGCGTGCCGGCGAGGTGAGCGGTCGGTAGATCTCTCGGCGCAATCTCGCCAACCATAGATCACTCCCGGGGGATGGTGGCCGTCCGTACAGCGCCCGGGGGCTGGCTTCCCGCCGGTGGATGTGTTAATATCGTGTTTGGTGCCCCGCATTGGGTAGCGTGTCGGCGCAGATTCTGGTTTCTTTGTTCGGCTGAGTCCGTATCGGCTTTGCGGTATTGACGTGTCTGTATCGCCAATCGGGAATGTGTGTGTGTAGGTCGGGGGGATGAATCACCGCTGTGGGTTCTGGGAATGTTGCGTGACCGCTCCGCCCGCTGGGTATCACATCCGGTAAGGCGTCTGGGATCTGTGAACGGTGTTCGCCACCCTTCTGAACGTGCCTAGCCCTTATTTATCCCCCAGGAACCCTAGGGAAGCGAGGCGAAGCCCCTAAGCATCCGATTGTGAGATTTTAGAACGCCCCTGTCGACAGCCAGTGACTGCTATTCCCGGAAACCCTTCACTCTGTTTCTCCCGCTCTACCCTGTTTCTCCCACCATACCCTGTTTCTCCCACTCTACCCGGACCCAGGCCGCAGGTGCGCCTCCACACAGTCGACGTCCCTCCCGGGTCCCCTCTGACACACCGTCCGGCTGTGTCCGGGTAGAATGGGCGGGACAGCGGCTCTGTGGACAGTGTTCTCCACTCCCCGTACCTGTCACCGGGGACTTGCTTTATGTCGGGGACGCTGTGCGGTGGTGGGGGGAACGTCTGATGGCTACCCACTCACACCTCTGGCATGTCCTGCCGGGGTGTGGACGGACGACTGCGGAGGCAGGGGGAGGGACTGGCCGCTCCATATCGGGCAGTGAGACTTGCGGCGGATTGGCGGGGTGTGTGCACTGTGCAGGCGTCGAGGCAGGAGGGAGGGTAGGCTCCGGCGATAGCCTTTTGTGTGATGGTAGGCGTGACAGTGCGTATGCTAAGTGGGATTTGGTGCGTGCCCGTGAGTGGGTTTTGAACAAATTTGGTGCGATTAAAGACTCTGTGCGTGTCTTTTGAGTGAGGCTTATGTAAACCTAGTGAGCTTTTATGTGGTTAAACAAAGACATAATCTTCGATTATGCTTCCTTATTTGCTTCAGTAATCAGTGTTCAACTGTTCTTTACTTATTAGTGTCAGTCGTTCATCCTGTTCATGTTAACAGCTCTTCTATTAATGGTGACTCCCGGCCTTACGATATTATCTGACCTCATGGTGACCTGGAGACATCCTCTGACCTAAGCGCGACCCCTATTCTGCCCTCAGTGACCCTCCACGACGTGTGTAACACCAGTACGTCAATGACGCTGGTTTTTGAGTTTCTGGAGAAGGATCTCAAACAGTACATGGAAGACTGCAATAACGTACTCAGCCTCAACAACGTCAAGGTAAGCGAAACGGTAGGCTAATCTCTCAGGGTTGTCTGTCTGGTAGACATGTTGGAGTTCAGTCGTCATGTGCAGTCACTTTTAGAAACTTATGAGAAGGGGACATTGGGGAGTAAGTTGTGGCACGGATGATTGGTAGAGCAATTTCGAAAGTGATGTTAGCATTCCCCAAGCTAGACTTCCGCATGATTGAAGTCGTTCCGAGTGTTCACATTAATCTTGTGATGACTAGTGTTGCGTGACGTTTTACTATCAACTAAGTTGTCGTCACTGGGCCACTCATTACTGAGTGAAGTCTTTTGTATGGAATTGCAGGTCCCAGAAGTCCCATCCCAGTTGCCGATTAGGCCGGTGGGCGGTGGGCGTTAAGCGCTGTAAGAGGGACTCCCTCCTCTTCCATCCTCTCCTCTCTTCTCCCCTCCCCTTCCGCTCCTCCCCCTTTCCTTCCCCACCCCTTCCCATCCGTCTTTGGCGACTGTGCCGGCTCCCCCCGGCGGCTATCGTCTCCACGCCTGACCTGTCCCCGGCCCGGTTAAAGTGTCCGCCTCAGCGCTTCCCGCTGACGAATGACACCCATATATCTGCACGGCATTGTCATAATGTCAACGTAGATCATCTAATATTTCAGCCAAAGTGGCCGACTTCGTTATGGACGGAATCTCTGTATGAAATTGCAATGAATTTGAGAACTGGTGGTCCCCTAGCGACCTGTTTTACTTACGATTTTAAGCCGTGTAGGAATGTATGTTCAGTTGGTGATTTCGTCATCGCATGGGCGATAGATCATATTTGAAGGACTATCGCCGAAGGAATTTGTTTACTTGTCAATATGGCCGCTACTTTTTGCAAAGCTCTCCTCGAGCAGCACTTGACTGAATGTTTACATAGAGTCGATTCTCACCACACTTTCTGAATTTGCACGAGCCGCCACGCCGCTTCACAGCTACCTCCGCTACACGGCTGGAAGCCCGTTTTGGTCAGAAATGTCTCATCCATCAGTCGCCAGTGTTTTTGTGAATGACATATGAGGAAAAGTGGTGCGGCGCGTGTCACCCGGGTAGCCGAGCTCTGGTTCAAAGTATAGGTTTTTGGCGGCGCGCGGCAGGCCGGTAATACGGTCTGCGACGACCGTTAGTTGCTGAAGGGAGTGTCGCGGTGATGGAAGCGATATGCAGCACGCGAAATACGCCCACCGCTGGTCACTAGTGTGTGACGGCAGCGCGATGAAGCTGCCGGAGAACGCGTCGAACGGAATGAGACCTCAGGACGGAGATGGGGAACTGATTTGAAAAAAATACGGTCTCTTAATTTGAGAAGTTACTAGTGTCTTAGACCCGTGTCTTGGGCAATGTTTTTAGTCAAGAACCCAATTGGACTTGCATTCATAAGCACATAGGCTCACGTAGGTATCAGCTTTCTTCCCCATGACATATGATATAAGGTCTGGGGTAAGGCTGATAAATTGGGCTGTGCCGTTAGAATTACTGAATTCTGGTTAGAGTCTGCTTCCGCGTGGGCCGGTTCGTCGGCACGGCCACCCCATCACCCCAGCCTTATAACCGGCCGTGGCCGCGGCTCCACTGCCGGCGTCTCTGGGCCCGCTGAGTTAGACCGGCGCCGGCTCCCCGACCCATTGTCACGCACTTTTTACGGCTGAGCTCGTGACTCAGCGGGCGTCTGGACCTCGTGAGGCGGCCACAAAAAGACGACCTCCCTCTGCCGAATAGGCCGCTTGCAAATGGCATGTGATTTTCAATCTTGGCGTGGCGCTGCTGAATGGGCCGACTGATACGGGCCTGCTATTGGAGCAGCGCCGGAAATATGTGGCCCAAATGGCCTCCCCCGGGAAAATATGTGGTAGCGATTGGGGCCGCGCCGGCCGGAGCCGCGCCGAACGGCCGAATAATCAGATCGCCGGCGGGCCGTCTGTAAATTCTCACTGTCGAACCGGGCGCCGTTGCGCCGTCTATTGGACGTTATAAGAATTGATGCCTTGAGCTGCTTTGGTGTTCCTATGGGCTGTATATCTTCGGCGTTTTGTTAATTGCAGCTAAAGGGATCGTTATTGGTTGTGCCGCTCCTACAGCGCGCGGCTAGTTGGATTGCTGCAGACGAATTTCTAGATAGGAGCTCATTAGCGCGAACGAAACTTGGCCATCTCATGCACATTTGAGGCGATCGATGCTAACGGCAAACTTCCCAATTTCGTTTGTTCGTTTGATGCACTTTTAGTGCCCTGGATGTACTCTTTGAACTGTGAGTCGTGCACGATCTGGTTCATTGTATTGCCATGGCTTTACTTGGCCTTCTTTCTGTTTTCACTTTAACGACGCGGTCTGCTCCGTTGTATTTTGTGCAAAGTTTACCGTTCTGAGCTATCTTCGGGGTTGGTTATTATGTATGTAAACAAGGCGCCCTCCTGTATGGCAGCCCTTCCCTGCCATCGTTCATCGTTTGACCCCTCTACGTCTCGCCAATCAATCCCCTCTCACCCTTCAGCTCCGAAATTCTCGTCTCCCGACCCTACCATCTATACAGTCTTTCTCTTAGACATCACATCATCACCCTTGCTTGTATGATTGTTGCTGCCGTGTCTTACGTCCAACTGTGCTGCATCCCGCTCCCTGACCCCACCCAATTCCCTCTCTCGACTGCTGCTGTCCCGCTGACCGCCCCGTGCGCCCGCCCAGACATCTGTATATCTGTCCGCTGCTATATTCCGCTCTCTGACCGCCCTCTGTGCCCTCCCCGGCAGCTGTTTCTGTTCCAGCTGCTGCGCGGCCTCGCCTACTGCCACCAGTACCGGGTGCTGCACCGCGACCTGAAGCCGCAGAACCTGCTCATCAACCAGCTGGGCGAGCTCAAACTGGCCGACTTTGGCCTGGCGCGCGCCAAGTCAGTGCCCACCAAAACCTACAGCAACGAGGTGGTGACACTGTGGTACCGGCCGCCGGATGTGCTGCTCGGATCCACCGTCTACTCGACGCCGATCGACATGTGGTGAGTGGCCGCTATCCTCCCTGACTCTTCCGTTGTTCGATCTTCCAAGCAGATTTACTGTAGGTTCTTTGCCGTTTTCTGGCTGGTTTCCCGTCGATTACCTTCCTGACTCCCTTGCTGTTTCCCCTTTTGCTTCCCAACCACGCTCCCGTCCTTATCGATATTCCTGCTGCTTTCCCGTCGTTTTCTTCAGGACTCTGGCTCTGCGGTGCTGAGCCGTTAGCGAATCTCGGTCTGGTCTTGGTCAGCTCCCGTGCCAATATTTCCTCCGGTGTAGCGTCCAGTGGTTCCTCTCTGGGTGGGCGCCGGACAGACTAGCTCATGCTGATGTTGGAACGGGAGGTGTTGATCCAAAGGCTACTGCCAATCACTGGAGTGTGATTCGTGCTCAGGCTTAAGCCGAGGAATCTGTAAGGGGCTGCTGTAATCTCAAGCTCATCAGTATCACTCACATACGCGCTTCAGGTAACTGAAGGTAGATCTTTTGGTTAATCTCTTCTCGGCCGATCGCCAGAGACGATAAAAGAGCCGTGTAGATGTTTCCAGTTTACGTTGAGCATTGCCTGGTCGTGTGGTCTCGTTACCTTGTGCCGTTGGGCCCGAACCGCCCACTCCGGATAGTGCGCTCGTTAAACGGAGGACGATCGTTGCCGTAGGGGTTGTATTCTCTCGGTTAGGACGATGGTGGCCACGGGGGGCGATTCACTCGATCGCCGAGAGTGGAGGAAGCTGTAACCGTGGGTCGTTTGGTCCAAAGATCTCGTTGCTGTGTGGTGTAGAAAGGATAGTCGGCACTGCAGAAATCTGTTGGTGATATGGAGGATTTTAATGGTATTGATGCGAACCAACCTACGAGGCTTGAGCCTTTGCTTCCACCATGGTTTCTCTTGTGGTAGAACCCAAGAAGGATGGAAAATATTGTGCTTGGGCTGAAGACAGATAAAGACAAATTCTCTGCTTACTAAGCAAGGCAATCGTCTGAAATGGACTGCAAGTCATCCGCAGCAACAATATCTCCATAGCGAATCCAGCATCGAATGCCTTTCGGATTTGGGCCACGACATCCGTACTCTGTTTCTCACACAGGGCGAGCCCACACGGAAGGATGCAGGTCATCCCAAACGTCCCGTATTGCGTCATTTCGGTTGGCGTCGACAACGAACGCGCCTGTTTGTCTCCGAATGAATGGCGCAGCAGTCGGAAGTTACCCCGGGTCCGTGTCCGCTGTTACAGCTAACGGCCAAACACTTGGCCGCGTCTAAACTGGCGCGCCGGTGGCGTTTACAGCGCAGCGAAAGGCGCCACCAGTCGCCTCCAAGGTAAACAGCGGCGGCGCCGGCGGCAGCAGCTGCCATGTGCCGCTGCCAGCTCCGGCGTCAGCGCAGAGTTTTACCCGTCTATTTTGGAGTGAAATTCTGGGAAACTGAACAGTTTGAGGCTATTTTGAGTGCGGTATTTTGGGGCGGCCGTGCTGACCCCGAGTCCGTGCGGCGGAAGGGGGTGTGGGTGTGTCCGGTTGGCGCTGGGATGTGTTAGATCACTGTGGGATCAAGGTTCCTGCTGTTATGATCGGAGTGGGATTTTTATCACGATGGAGAAATCGCTGTTTCGAATTTTCGCTTAGGTGCTACCAGATACTGCGGAGAAGCTAGGATGTATTAAGTTGCGAAGGGCAGAAAGCAGATAGTCGAGATGGACCAATGAATGAGAATGAATTGCAGCCGAAAGATCCAAAATGTGAATATTTGCATGCCTTCGTTTTTGAGTGATCTCGACGAACGTTTGGATGCCATTCGTATCATATCATATGGAGCGACGGCTGCCACTTCTGAGACGGTCCTACACCGCTATTTTGTGGAATAGCTGCAGATGCTGATTCCAACCTACAAGATAGTGTTCCGCCTTGAATCCGGGAGCATCCCGACTCCCCTGGCGGGTGCTGTCGGTTGCTTTGGGTCGGGTTGAGAGCTGTTTTCGATCTGCATATGTGCTTGGGTGTCCAGAAGTAGCGGAATGCTATCACGTTGGGTTCTTGTATTCGCCGCTCCCCGGTCGAAGGGCGTGTCCAGGACGAGCCCGAGGCATGGCTGCGTAATTCGTTCACAGAAATGGGTGTAACTCATCCGGCACAGCAGACTAGGGCTTGCGACAAACATGATTGTGGCATTGCCAGAGAAATGAATTGGATGAGTTCCATAATGAAGTCGAATTAGCTATCTCAACACAATTGTCTGCGACGTAGACGGCATTGTTTCTTTAGGTTGGGCTGAGGGGAGGGAAGCTGCCTGAAAGTAAAGAAAATAAGCCGTTCCTGTTCCAAGCATGTTCCATGTTGTACATCCACCGAAAGCGTTTTTGCTATCGAAAGCACTAACCAGTCGCCTGTCAGCATCCGTGTATGTCCGTATCAACTAGTCTGCGTACGGAGAACTAATCATCCAGCGCTGCTTTCCACCCTGCTCTCCACGTCAGTGGCTGCTCTGGAGCGCTGACGAGCCAGCCGTATCCCGTTCCGATGGGCGTCAGCCCGCGGCGGTCTGCGACTCCCACCCGTCATCCGCCACGGCTAATGAGGCTGTGCGCCGCCATCCGACACGGGGTCCCTCCGGGCGAGCGAGATGGAGGTCCGTGTGCTGTCATATGATACCCGGTCGCCCAGGGCGAGATGAAGATATGGATCTGAGCCTCGCCATATGACAATTTGTCCTCTGGGTGACCTGGAGACAGGTCAAGGATGGGCGGGGTGGGAGCTGGCCTGGGTGGTCTGCGCAGCGCTTGTGTGTGAATGTAACGGGACGGTTGGACGCTAATTTTTTGTAGTCCGTGGAATCTGGACAGAAGCTGGTCCTTCCGCACTACGTCGATAGTTGTCGCGGTCAATGATGGTGACACGGCTGTCTTCGATCGGGATTCGAAAGGTCAACCTAAATCAGTCAGCTGGAGTGGAACTGAGCGTCGTTACAGGGCGACAAAAGTTCGCCTCCTAACTCTGGTCGAGCCAGAGCGGTGTGATCGGACAGAGGACGCCTTGGTTGGTTTGATGAGGACTGGGCAGAGAGTGACAGTGACTAACCAACCAGCAGTGATTGGTTGGGCAGTGACCCATTCACAGACGATGTGAACTGGAAAGGACATTACCATTCACCACGGATGCTTGGAGGAGTCCCCGCATTTGATGGAGCAGCTTCTAATGCTCGTTGTAAAAAGCAATGGAATTGTGTGCTGCCTGAATAGTTATTGTGGTCCTTGCCGTTATGCGTGCTGCCACGTCTGCATGATGACTCATTGCTGTCAGTTGTCAAGAACTGTCGTCGTTCACTTTTCCCTTTATAAAACATTGTCCTGCATGCCATCATCGATGTAAGCTTATCTTGAAGAACGCCGTCGCTTTCAACTGATCTACACAGTGCGCAGTGCGCACCGTCTGGCCAGTCCGGTTGTGCGCGGTCCAAGGCGAATCCCGAGTAGTGTTGTGGACGTCCTACGACACTGAAGCCCCACAGGACACCGCAGTCACGCAGAAACGCACGCCGCATTGACGCGCATTGGCAGCTCTCTAGGACGGCATTGATTTGCTGAACAGCCTTGGAAGTTAGTTCCGCGATTATCGTAATTGCTACTAAGGCTTCGTCGTACGATCAAATCTGCTGCTTACATAATATGCTTTACTTCCAAGTGTGTCTGTGTGATGTCAGGGTAGCCTATGTTTTAACCGAACCGTTTATTTTGGTTTGCGATCTGTTAGTTAACGTTATTGCGCATATGTGATCGGTGGAATCCCAAACAGAGTAATGTAATCCACCCTTTTTTGTGTCCAGAAACTAGGTTACGTGATGTTCTGTCTTCTTTCTCTGGTCATTGCTCGAGACTAGCTTTTGGTCAACGTGTATCTGCTTTTTTCCTTCGTTGTGTGATTTTCTAATTCAGCAGAGAAGTTCAGAAGGCACCCATAGCGTATTAACCTGTATGTTTTAGCGCTGTTCTGTGCCAGCAGCCATTTCGCTTTCTGTCTCTAACCGGACTCTTCCTTCAACAGGGGCGTGGGCTGCATCTTCTTCGAGATGGCGGCCGGCCGGCCCCTCTTCCCCGGCTCCACAGTCAAAGACGAGCTGATGCTCATCTTCAAGACACTGGGCACGCCGACCGAGCAGACGTGGCCAGGGGTGACATCTATCGACGAGTTTAAGCAGTACAACTTCCCGCCGAGCCGCTCCGAGTCGCTGGCGGAGCGGTGTCCGCGGCTGGGCGGCGACGGTCTGGCGCTGCTGCGACAGTTCCTGCTGTACGAGGTGACGGGGCGGATTGCCGCCGCCGACGCCATGCGACACCCGTACTTTGGCTCCCTGGGACCGGCTGTGCTATCACTACCAGACGGTGAGTATCGGTGGGGAGAGAGTGGGAAGGAACGAGTTGGGGGAGATCGAGGATCGGAATGAGGCGGGGAGGAATCAGATTACGAGACTGTGCAGGGTGATACAGCATTGTTAGGCTTAGAGGGTAAAGTTGGGTGGTATAGGGGCTGAGGCCGTGATTGTGACACTTGTGACATGGTTTTGCATTGGGGAGATAGCTGGGAGAACCAATAGGATTTCAGGATTAAGATAGAAAATAATGTGAGCTGATTGAGGGCCTGGCAGCTCGTGCAAGTGTCAGCCATGGCAGGGTTGTTTAGTTGGCACATGCTTTACCAGTCGTAACTCGTATCGTAACGTTTCTCCCTGCTCTGTGTTTTCAGATGTTTCAATATTCACGCTGCCGGGCATCAGTCTGTGCCGGGAGCACGGCCGCGGCGGCAGCAGCGGCGGCCAGTCGCAGTCCGGCGCCAGGCAGCGGCGGCAGACGCTGCTGCTCTGAGCCGGCCGCGCCCAGCGCCGCCACGCGGCAATATTCCGAACTAGTAGTGTGTGCGCCGGCCGCCGGGCGGCGCGGCTCGTCATTCCGGCCGGTGATGCTCGCTCGCGGTGGTCCACTAGTCTCTCAAGGTCCGACCGGTCGTCTTTCAGCCGCGCCGGCCCGCGCCCTGGCTGACCGTCTCCGGCCCACGCGGCAGCGGCGCTGACAGACAGACAGACATACGGGGCAACACGCCGAGCGAGCGACTGAGATAGAAAGAACGAGCGAGAGATAAAGGGAAATATTTGTCAAATCGCGTGGCTGTAACTTCTTTTGCGCGTTCATATCTACGTATATAAATAACCTTATGATGCGTTCCCAATGTGCCGTGTCGTGTGTGCGACGTGACTATGTGTATTTGCCGGATCTAGTGACATAGCCGAAATCCGAGCGTTCTCTGACGCTCTTCAGTGGCGGAGGGTCGGCGGGCGGCGCTGGCTGACCTGGGGTCCTCGCCCCGACCCGGCTCCCCGCCGGGCCGGTCGGACGCGCCCCGGCCGACCCTCCCCGCAGTTGTTTAGTCGTGGGAAGTCTATTTTTGCAGCGTTCTGCGGACATTGTGTGGGAACGGCTCGCTGGGTGTTGTTGTGATGTGCGGTCCCGAGTCCCTTGTCAGAGGCGAAATGTTCACACACAAACACACACACATACACACACATACACAGTGTTGCCCGACCAAAATCGTCAATAAAGCTGTTTGTATAGCTGGTGTTTCACGTCAGATGGGGGCGATATGTCGATGAGTCTGCGGAGCGTGGGTGGGCGGCCGTGGCGGTCTATGCAGTTTGGGACTTGATGGAAGTGACTTCTGAATGGGTCGAAGCGATGCAGTTTGGGTTGAAGTGTGTCAGTTGGAAAGGAAAAATGCCCATTGATCACCCACAGACATAAGCTAGCGTCGCCGTCACTGAAAGGGCTATTCTTCGAAGTTCGATGCATCGCTTTCGGCACCCCATCGGCATACGAGACTCCCCCGGACGCAATGAATCTGCTTTTTTGGGTATCGTTTCTCTCCAGTCTCCAATGGGCAGAGCAGCTACCTCGATTTCCACCGGATCGCAGTAAACTCGTCAGCACACCTCACTGCCCAGTAGCAACCCGGAACTTGGCCAGGTGATGAGTCAGTTCGCAAAGTTCAGCCGTCACTTATAACAGGCGGCGAACATCTCACCCTACCGCGTCACGGTTCTGATTCATACGCTGTTTGAGAAGTCTGTCACCTGTTAAAAAGACCAAATCAGCCCTCACTCAGTATCTACGTCGTTTGCGTTCTTTTCCCATTCACTCCTTACCTTTTACTTCCCAGAATCTTTTGCATTTTCCCGAGTTCCGTCTCTTCCCTTACCTTTTTCTCTCAGTCTTCTCTACTCTAAACATATCTTCTACCTCATCTTCAGTCCACTCCCGCTCGCCCCCCCCCCCTATTCCCTCCCTCCTCCCCCTATCTGTATCTGGGCCCAGCTCGCCGTCACGTCTTTATTTCTATGGTCGTCACCATCAGACTGGTTCCCGATGTGGTTATCGTCCGTCGGCGTAACAGCAGGCAGTCGGATCATACGGCGTAACGGCGACGTAACGGCGGCGTAACGGACATCAGTCGGCGCCGGTCCCGGACGGGTGGTCCCAAGCCGAGTGTGTTGATGTGTTTAGTAGCCGTCCGTGACCGATCAGATGGTTTATCAACACCCCGAGTGTGGAATGATTGACGCACCGTGACCATCGGGCCGCCAGTACCGCACGGACATAGAGCCATCACAGCGGACGGGGATGGAGGGCGCCTTCTGCGCGTGCAGTGAACTGTTACAGCCCGGGCTTCGCTATACGTGTTTGTCAATTTAGTGTTAGCCTTCAATGTCTTCATCTGTCTCGTCTATTGCAGGCATTTGGGTTGTATTCCTTGGATTTCCTTGGGTGTTTCCCTTGTGTATATGCCCTGCGGCTCACCGCCCTGACCTACCCCTGTGTCCTAGTAAACCCTCCTCTCGGGTAAGACCCCAGCCGAAGCCAGGTCATACTAGTCCCGACGACGAGCTGGCCGGCGCGGAGGTGGGCGGCCGGCATTGTGTCAGTAGTGTGGGCCGCCCCGATGGGTGGAGTCGCTGTCTGAATCACGGTTAGAAAGTGTCTGGTGAGGCCAGGCTGCTCCCGGGAAGCATTGTTCGGTGCCAAATACGCGGTTTATGCTGAACGTTACTGCACGTATGGTGGTCTTTAGGGGAACTAAGTGAACGGTTTTGATGGATGGGATTTTGTATCGATCAGCGTACCACGAGATCATTAAAAATCGCCGTAGTCCACATGAATTAAAAGCCTTCTGCTATCCTTCATGGTTAACTAGGCTTCATGGCTAAGCCCTTTCGTGCCGCCCTGATTGACCCAGCGAGGTGACGTGACGGTGGTTTTACCTCCTGGGCTGACAGATCGGCGAGGTGGTGCCGAGTCAGAGGTCAGGCCCCAGCAGATCGTGGACGTGGGTCTTTCAATCACCATCTAACCTTCAAAACCGCACGGCGCCTTACAACACCTTATAAATCCATCACACAGCCGCAGACAGATCTATCTAATCACGCTGCCACGCGCTCTCCAAGGACCCGTCTGACCCCCGAATCTTCCATCGTGCCATGCCTGCGGCAGGCTTTGCTTTGTAACACGGAACACCCAGCCAGTCATGCCCTTACGGTGGAGATACCAACCGGATGATTCTGTCGGTATAAACGGGCAGAATGTGATGTTGCTCATTGTTCATGATGCAGTGTACTGATTGGTCACTAACCAATGTTTGTTCGATCCGTGCGGGAGTCGGCACGGGCGCCGCCGGCCCGCCATGGTGACGTTTGTCGCACGCTCTCCTGTCTCTCCTCTCCTCCACATCGGTAGCTTGAACGTCTGCGGTCTGACCCTCGTCCGGTTGGTGAATTTGTCACTATCAAGTGTCAACACAGTGACAAGTGATAAGCTGGTCTTCGATATCAACGAGACTTGCATCATAGAGGTGCCTCTGAGTTAGCACGGCAGGTGCACCTAAGTTGACGGGTCTGAACTGTTCGTCGAAATATAACACCGAAGTCGAGGCCCCGGGGTGTGGGGAGGGGGACGCTGACGCGTAATTCTTTTTTCCAGCGACGCTGACGGTAGGTGTGACGGGGGGGGGAGGTGATACTAGCGCGTGCCCGGCGGCGGCCCGAGTCGCTTCTTCTCAGACATACAGGACATCTGGGATGATGATACGGATGATACGGCACGCCCCGTGAGAGTGACCCCGGAGCCCGCGCGGGGATTAGAGCTGATCCTGAACGATCGGTTTACGACGCGTCTCGATGGTCCTCGTCCCCGGCTCCCGGTCGTCGAGAGAGGAGAGCGGCAGCGAACGTCGCACTTTGAGCCGGATGAGGTCTTACCTGCATGTCGCCGGTCATAGGGCGTGGGATGGTCCGATGTCCGGCGAACAGTAACGCCGAACGCGTGTCCCGATAGGCCCATTAATTCCGCTCGGAAGATCTTATCTGCAGCCGCAGTGCACGCACTGTCCTCGGATTTATGCGCTGAAGTGGAGTGGGTACGTAACGTGTGCATGTGCGTGACAGGACAGACGTACGTACCTGCTCAGAATTTCAGGTATTTATACCTACCTATGACTTAAAAATTGATCCTATACTTAAGGTATAGGTAATTGACTGAGACGGATAAATGCAATGCTTGTCGTTTTAACTCTCCCTCGGTGCTCGCTGCTTTGTAAATGTAAAGTAGGTACCTAAACTCACCCAATAATCAATATACCCTGTGTAAGCATGCATTGATGTTACAGCTCCTGTCACATGGCTTTGACGACAAACGCTTGGATTTCTGCCCTATTAGCTCGTGCCTCGTGTTTTCTGTTTTCATTACGCCGAGGTAAAACCCTCAGCCTATGTGGAGAACGTTAACCCTGTTTGCATTATTAAGCGATACCTATCTACTTCTATCTTCATAATCAGTGTAGGTATGCGTCATGATTATATCCTACAGTTATCACAAACGGCAGCGCACAAGCCATGACAAAACAAAACTGATGCCATACACTTTTATGATCTATATAATCATATCATGATGGATGCTGTGCGACTGCGTTTCATGGTGATACAACGGTTTTGTCTATAGCTCTCCTGGTCCTGAGATTTATCGTTTCCAGTGTCATTAAGCATGAGTCACACAACATATAGACTAAAACTTCCGGTGCCATGATGCATTTTGTTGAATGTTGGTCCTCCCAGTTAATTAGTTTCAACTGGAACGTGTCAGTGAGCTGCACATCGGTAAACTGAGAGGGCGTCGAGTTGCGCAGTAATACCGCCTCACTGACCTGACACCGGTCAACACACCCATTTAGGTGCCACTATTTATTTCGAGACATTTTCCGTTGCGATGATTGGAGTACGCAGTCAGAAGTCGTTAGCACGTTACCTTTTAACTGCCTCCAAGATGTTACGCTCCGAGTTTCGCTTACTCTCAATTCTCAAAGGTCAAATTACCTTTATTAGGTAAGTGGCTTCCCCTGTCAGCATCGCATGCTTTGTCGGAAATCACAATTTAAAGCCTTGCTCACATGACTTCTGACGAACGGTCCAGCTCTCAGGGGCTGTATCTGGAGCACCGTCCGTCGCCGCTGTGATGTCGGGCCACCCCGAGGGCCGCTCCTTTCCCAATCCTGAGTGATGAGCCGCCGTCAGCCGGCGGTCAGCGCGGCGGCGGAGGACGCGGAGTTTTTCAACGGGTGACGGACCGTCCCGTCTAGTGGACGGACCGGCGGTGTCTTCAGAGTGACACCGACACGTCTGACCCCCGCGGTGACACTGACACATTTGACCCGACCCGGGACGGCGTGACCTCGAGACGGAGCGATCCAGGTCAGAGTCGTCACGAAGGGCGGCGGCCGCATCAGACTGATGAAAGGCGCTCATTTCGCCGGGAGTTATCGACGAAAGGTGAGTAGAAACACCTTTTGAGGGATGGGCCAGTCAGCGGAGTCGTAAAATGCCGGGGTAACGGACCATTACATGAACAGGTTCATCAGTTGGTCAGCGGTTAAGGCTGCCTGACATGGAACGGAACACAGTAGGTAAGCGTGCCATACAGCGCTTACCGACATGTTTCGTCAATGGAATGTGGCATTCAGCGAACACCGTTTTACCCATTTACGAAATGACCAAATAGGTAGCAGTCGTTCGCTTTACAAGTTTAGTAAGCAGGACTCAATGTCTAAGCTGGAGCTCACCGAACGGTGTTGTGTCGTCTGATTTACACGGTAACAAAAACGCAATTAATCGTTCACATGACATGGCACACCTTTTTCTCACTAAGAACCGTTTACTCGAACTGTCATGATGTGGGTAGGCTAGGGTTCTTCATTCTTCCTAGAAAGAAAGTCAAAGACGACGATGCGTAACACTTTTATAACTACTCTGCGTATGCATTTAGTGATCATCTTATTCATGCGGTATACGGTGAATCCGAGTCGCTATGTTGATGTGGCATATGAGCCATGAACGATCAAACATCATTCATTCTATCAACTAACCCATGAAGGATTCCATAGGCGGCCAGTACAGTGGTGAGCCTCTGCAGAATCTCACATGACCTCATCTGCCACGTAACAAATGACCCGAGTCCCGACTCGTGCATCATCGTCGCACCCTCGCCGTCACGTCACGGTCTTGAGAACGGCTTCCGTCGTGAGCCGCTCGGAACAGGGTTACCAACAGGAATTTTTCTAAATCCCAAGATCGCCGCGCGAATTTCCCAAAATCGAGCTCCATATCCCAAGGTCGACAGGATCAAAGCCCAGTGTGCATCCCAAGGTCTATAGAAACCAAATATAGAGCAAATAAAGTGTATTTGACATATTTTCAAATCTTTGGTTGACTAAATAAATCAATATCGTTAACATAACTTGCATTCGACACAGTTACACACGCAGGCATAGGTACAGAGACACAGCAAGTTACCTGTCTGGGTTTTACGAGTTGAAGCATGATCCGTCGCAGTGGCGGATCCAAGGGGGGGGGGGGGGGGCAAAATGGGCATTTGCCCCCCCCCAAACGGCATAATTTTGAACATTACGCCTATGGACGATGGCATGGAAAGAATCGATAAATTTTATGGTTTGCCCCCCAAAACTCTGAGCTGGATCCGCCTCCGATCCGTCGGGCGTCACAATTCGCAAACAGCGGCCAGGCCGGGTGTTAATCGACGCGGAAGCCACTGGGTATTTCGCTAAATGTCTCACTTGAGAGCTGAGACGGGAGAAACAAAGTGAAGACGCGTCAAATAAGGATAACTTATTCGTGCTTCGTTGGTTGCTTGGTAAGGTACAGTGAAACCAAACGAAAGAACGCTCGGTTGTGTTCGTCCAAAAAGGACGGTTTACAAAAAACAAACAATTAAGTTGTGTTAGATGTGTTCCTGATTCCTTTGTTTGGTCTTTATTAATACTTTTCCTTTTTCCAATGATTAAAAAAATGTGCTAAAATTAGCGGGAGTCGTAAGCTCGGGACAAATCCCAAGGTTTGCTGTTGAATCCCAAGGTCCCAAGGTCGGGTTCAATATCCCAAGATCTTGGGACAAATCCCAAGCTTTGGTAACCCTGGCTCGGAATTTACAACTCACAAACCAAGGGCAGGCAGTCGCCTTAGCCGTATATGGGCCAGAATGTCTAACGATTTCGGCCATGTTGTGTATACCAAAGTCTTGAAAAGTGTGAAAAGTTGATCGTTGCAAGCAAACTGCAAGCATGAACAGCAGCAGTTTTGAGAAGTGTACCTCTCACTAAAGCCGGGTTCACACCGGTTTTCCGGTCCGGAAAAATTCCGTCTGCCGGGCCGGCACCAAAATGTTGAAATTGTCGCTAGATGTCAAAAAAGTCGCTAGAACCGGAAAACCGGAAAGTCGAGCCGGAAATGTCATTCTAAGCACGATAAGTAGGTACCAAGCAATCGCGCGAATTATTTTTAAATCGAACATACTTGTGTGACGGCTTTACAAGTCCCTGATGCAGTCCCATCCAACCGAAAATCATCTATCCTTCACTGGTAGGTATATTAGCAACATTAATACAATTTCACATTTACAGCATGCGGGCTAGGTATCGACAAAAAGACACTGATTTATTTCAATCGCGCTTTGGCTGTTGTTGGTTTAAAAACACTTGTGAACAAAGAGGAATTGAGGGCTGGGCAGGGCGCATTAGAGACGGCGAGGTTGATATTACGCTAGCTGATGTAGATGGCTGGGTCTCAAAATCGGTCATCTGACTGTCACTGAACTCTGCCGCCATAACCCGCGCCCCGCTGGGGGTCCTAAATTTCCACGCCTTGCTGGGGGTGTCTAACACCCCCAGCACCCCCTTCTAACTCGGCTCTTGGGCCACGTAGCGATACGGGGAAGGCGGCGTTCGAGTGTCAAAAATAATGACGAAATTAATTTGGTCACTGTTTTGGTCAAATCAAAGGTCAGGTCACCAGAGGTCATGGAAAGCCGAATTTCACCGATATTCAGGTCGAATGTCGACGATTTATAACAAGCCAACGCATAACTTGGCATCGATTTTCTCCCATTGGCTTATAATGGGTAGGTTACAAAGTTGACCTGACCTTAGGTCACCGATATCAAAATTCCGAGATAGCTATTCATTTAAATTGTGTACATATTGTTGCCCTCATCAATCGCTGAGAGGTTCAAAGAGGTCGGTCGCTCGATGTAGCTATGGAAGACGTTAAAACTTTGTATGAGGTGAGTTCACTTGAAGTGACCTGGTGACCTGACCTTAAGTGACCTTGGTCTACAATTTTTACAACATGTGCAGACAAGATGCATGATAAGGTGTGCCAAAAACAGCCACCGTTTTTAGATATTCGCGAAAAAACAGCAGGGAGGGTTCAAAATAATACCCCCAACCCCAGCAGGGCGCGGGATAATATCCTTGGCATTCAGTACCATCGCATTTCCTGAATCTTCTTCTTGCGATTGAATGGCAAAACTGCCTCCACCCTCCCGAGCTGCTATGTGCTTGTGTAGGAGGGCATCGAGGGCAGAGAAGTGTAATTGTCAGCGCGTCTTGTAGAATGTAGATTTCGGAATCTGCTCGGCTGGCTCCATTTCGTAGACGACGGAAGTTAGCAATACGTACATTGTGCTACCTGTCCTGTGGCCGGCTCCAGCGCTTGCTAATCTCTTCTGCAGATACTGGCTCCGCTCCTTCTACAACCAGCGCGTCCGCAATGTTGTTCCACAAATTCGCCCTTTTCACCGCTTCCTTATAATATTTATCTTTTTTATTATAGTCATGGATATTTTCCAACCAATGAAATTAATATATAATTTGAAAAGGCCATGAGTTATGTGAAATACAAAAACAGAAGTGTAGCTATCACTCCGTTTGAGATGCAAATGTTTTGAAACAAGGCCCTATATAGAGTTTTGAAATTAAAATGAAACGCCGTCAAATCAAAAATACGCTTGAATTTTATATTCTCGTGAAAATTCGCGAGACTATTAGGGCACCGTTGGTTAAATTGGGCCTGTAGCGCTTAAACATAACATTATTTCCCTCGTGCCTTAATTTCATATTACAAACGGTGGCTATCCGGCAAGGCAAAAGTTGAGATGATTTCAACTTCTTGCCGGACCGGAAAATCTGGCTCTCCGGCCTGCCGGACCGGTCAAAAGAAGTTGCCAGATTTGCCGGTTCACACCAGCTTTCAATTTTCCGGCACGGAATTGGCCATTTTCCGGCCCGGCAGACGGAATTTTGCCGGCCCGGAATCCGGTGTGAACCCGGCATAAACTGCACCTCTGCTACCGTACATGTAATTTACATTTCTGGTATACACGACATGGCGGAAATCGATGGACAAAAACAAGCCACCGATGCTCCTTCCAGTATATATTAGAGTTCAGTGTCACAAACACGCCTCAATGAAGACTCCTGACTCAGAACTGCGCGTGACATATGCCGCCGGGCACCCCTATGGGAGGGAGGAGGCAGTGCGCTGCTCGTGTTACGGCATTGCCGGCGGCGTCATAGAAGGGGGATGGGCGACACGACCGGCCGGCCTGGGTTTTCCGCCGGAGGCTGAGGAGAGGCGAGCGCTGGGGTCGGGACTCGGAGAGCGATAGCCCCGGTCGGAGGTGGTGGGGATGAAAAGGAAGCCGACACAGCGGGTATAAACTGGGAGGGGGAGTGAGGGCGGTAGACGGCGTGACTAGACGACGTGGCTGGGGCTGGGAAAGCCCTTCAGTCCGGTGTTAGCTGGAAATCGGGGCTTTGGGATCAACCAGCCGGTCTTCTTTTTAGTTCACTGTGATCGAGCTAAACAGGGGAAATGACCTCTAAATCAATCTCTTGCAAGCACAAGTCAACGTGAACGTTAATCTTGTTTAGTGATTTACGTAGGGCGCGTGTATTATACATTTGCATGAACCCTTGCATAAAAATTTCTTCATTTGGAAACAATCTGGAAGCAAATCTTTGAAACAAATGTGGCGTGGAAGACCACGTGATTATTCACGCAAGGCAGTGCGCAAGGCCGATTCACGTGTGAGCTGGGGGTGATTATTCTCTTGACTTTGTTCTTCTGTATTTCAATTTTCAGGGTCCAAAACTCAGATATCAAGTGGTTAAGTCCGGTATCATATTGATATAGGTCTTGATAACCAGCACCTTCATCTGCCTTGCTACAAGAGAATATGCCCAACGTTTTGGTTAGGTGAGTACAAAGAGACATAGGTATGTACAAACACGGTACACGGACTTCGTTTACCACAGTGACGGTTGAAAAAAGGCCGAATGATTGACTACTATATCAATAAGTATGAATTGTTTGTGACTGTATCAAAATGCTCACAGATGATATGAAGCGTAGAGCCACTTATGTAGGTATGTGTTTATCATATCCTCTCAACCAGGTCGAAAGCATAATTGAAAGACCGTTTTTGTGCCCATGTTAATGACCGTGACCCATATAGGAGCGCCAGCTCAGCGTCCGCACCTCTGCGTCCATCTCTCTCCCTCTCACTCTGAGCTCTCCCGTCTCCCGTCTCCGTCCCGGTTCTGAATCCATCCAGTGACCTCCCCTCCCTCCACAGGTCGAGGCCCGCCCCCGGCGCAGTATGTCTCACGACTCACGCACCTGGGCGGGATTCCCGCGATGGGCGGCCCACAGCCGCGTCTCTCCGAGCCCGTCTTCCGGAAGGACCTCAGCGAGCCCGGGGGGCCCGCCGCGCGGACCGCCGCCGTCGCTATGACGTCACGCCTGGCCGCGGCGCGACTGGACGCGGCCGGCCGGCCAGTCAGTTGTGTCTGGTCGCCGGTGCCGCGAGGATTGCGAATACGCCGCTGCCGCAGCTGCGCAACTGCCAACCACGTGAGAAGGACAGGACGGTGACCAGGCTGTTCTAGAAAGGAGTGTCCGAGTGTGAAGGGTGATATTCACCTTCGGAAGATTCTGATTCGACCCAGGAGCTCAGGTGGCCGGCGGACAACGGTGGTTGGCACGGGCCGTGACCGTACTTTCAGTGAAGGTCGGAGCTCCGTGCCAAATCGGACCAGCTGACCGGCCCGGCGACACCGGCTCTGCCTACAGGTTAGTACCTACAGGATAGTGTGTTTTTTTGGACGTTGGTGTGTTTTTGTCCGATCAGCTGATCCAGTGGTACCCTGTTGACGGGAGGTCCCGTGTCGTTCGTGAAGGAATGTCGCCGTCGGCGGCCGTACGCGGCTATCGATGCTGTGATAACACGACGACGTAGCTTGCACGCATTTTCATACGGTGTCCTTTGGAGTGGATAAAGGCGAGCTTTTTGCCTTTGCGGACTTCGTGTGGTTTTCGCTTGTCTTCAAGGTATGCATCATAAGAATTACGAAGAGTTGGAGCCAGTATCAACTGTTGGTCAGATTAATTGCGGTGGTCGAACATCACATTATACCTTTAGAGCGGTGTTACAGGTTCAGGACAAATTAAAAGGTTTGTCTAAAATGCATTCATTGTCAATGCGTCCTGTTCCAACGTTGATATGGCTGGGCGTCTATTTTTTTTCTCACAGCTAATTTGAGCGTACATTTTCTGGGAATGTCGAAATTCTGTTTTATTGCTCAGCAATGGACATTAAAGGGACCCTCCCACCTTCAAAAAAGTTAATGAATTGGCATGAAAGTGATGTTGTCCCTTGGTTCAGAAAGAGCGAAAACGAATATCTACCAAATTTCACCGAAAAATATTCACTGCTTTTCAAGATATTAGGCTTTTACTTTTGTTTACTTTTTGGGATCTCCCCTGTTACTAACGACTTTATTTGGAAGCAATAATTTGGCAGCCTTAAAGTGCGGCAGACGTTGCGCGCAAAGCAGCGTATACCACCACGTGTTAACGATGGTTTTAGTCTAAGATTTAAAAATCGTTAGATCTCCGCTGACGTCACAAATTCTAAGGGGGCATTCCAATACATTAGCCCCTTAGAATCCGAAAACTGCAAGTTTGAAATTCCATATCTTCGAATTAAAGCATTGTTCGATGTTGTGAGTGCCCAAACCGGTATTTGCAGGCCATGGCCACCAATTTGGCTATCTCATCTCAAAACTAATGTTAAAGGGACCCTCCCACCTTAACATTAGATTTGAGTTGAGATAGCCAAAATGGGGTCCCTGGCTCACAATTACCGGTTTCGGCACTCACAACATCGAGAAATGCCTTAAATCGGAAATATTGAATTTCAAAATTGCAGCATTTTGATTCAGAGGGGCTAATGCATAGGTATACCCCTCTGAATGTGTGACGTCAGCGCAGATATCTAACGATTTTTAAATGTTTGACTAAAACGTTTTGTAGCACGCGGTGGTAGATGCTGCTTTGCGCGCAACAAATGCCGCACTTTCAAATAAAGTCGCTATAGGAACAGCGGAGATCCCAAAAAGTAAACAAAAGTAAAAGTCTAATATCTTGAAAACCGGTGAATATTTTTCGATGAAATTTGGTAGATATTCGTGTTTGCTCTTTCTGAACCGAGCGACATCACTTTCATGCCAATTCATTTACTTTTTTGAAGGTGGGAGGGTCCCTTTAAGGTGGGAGTGTCCCTTTAAACGTCAGACATACAGTGAGTTGTGCGTCGAAAACTTCCTACACTCTGTAGAAATACATAAACAGAGCGACACGTCGTTGGCCATTCCTTGCTGCGGAAACATGGCGATGCTATAGGCATGGCGACCTCCAAACCGGTTTATAAACCACAAGTTCAGCAAAAATCCACCGCATGGTGGCTTCAGACGTTAGAGTGCCTTACGTAAGGTTTCGTCAGGCATGAGTTTCTGACACGCCAGTTCTTCGGTAGGAATCCGGGACCTGTTCGCAGGAGTGAGCAAAAATCACCCAGCCTCGGCCAGCGCCACAGCTCGCTCCCCATTCATTCACCGACTCGTGACTGGTGAGCGGTCACCATTCACCACTCGGTGCCGTGCCAGTGTGACACCACGCCGTCGGTGGTGACCCGTTTGGCACCACTACCGATCAATCACTAGCACCACAATCCATCACAGGAGTCTCAGCCGCTCCGTCGGCCGCCGGGCGCCGGGCCAAACAGAGGTCAGTCACTGCGGAGGTCACCAGGTGTAAAAACGCAGAGCCCGATGTAACTGGCACCCCATCGGTCCGTCGTGTCTGACGGTCCGACGGGAAGCTTGCGTCCGGCACGGCACCACTCGTCCCGTCGGGTCTTCCCTCGTCGTTTTCTTGTTCGGTTTCTTATCATGGTTTCTCCTCATGGTGTGCCGAGCTTTCGCAGCCCGACAGCTGTGTGCCGCGTTGCGTCATATGTATCGCCTCCCGACTTGCATTGTCGTCAGCGGATTAGTTTATCTTGTGCGGCGCAATACGACGAATGCCGGTCGACGGGACACCGGCGGGCTTCCAAACGAGTTGTGGGCCAGCGCGGATGGTCCGACTTCAAGGTCGGCGGCGGCTGGCGGCGCCGGACAGTGCACGGTGCAGCACGCGCTCTGTGCACTAGTGGTGCACGCTGGTGACCGGCTGCACTTGTGACGTGCATCCATAGACAGTACACCGAAGGACGGTGCGAACACTGGCATGGGTGGATGCGTCTTGGACGCCGAGAAGCCTGGGATAATTATGGTCACTGAGGTGGTAGTGGGATTGGGTGTCTTATGAACGCTGTCCATGGCTGGTCGCCGCTAATGGCACAGCAACTGGCAGTGCCAAAAGCGGTAGCCAGCGATGACTACCTATCTTTGACTGCGGTGCCATAGTGGTGGCTCACTTTGACTAGCATAAACCAGCGACAGCTAAGGCCTCTTTTTTAGCTCGATTATGAGATGCCTACCCCAATCCTATCCACTCGTGAAAACATTGCCGTGGGCTGATCCATGTGAATCGGAGCGTGTCCAGCCTTCAGGCCCGCCCAGGATGCCTACCTCGCTCCACTGCTGGATGACAGCTCTGGACTAAAAGTAAACCAATCAGGAATCTGCTCGTCCAGTCGGGAGCGGAACTGTTTTCACACGGCTCGGTTCAGTGACAGTGCCAGCTCCTAATCGGAAAACGGCCGCGCCGCCGGCCCGCGAACCAACGGGCCGTGACGGCTAAGCTGAGATCACGCCTCCTCAGGGCTCACGGCAACACCGATACATATTGATAGACACGGCTCCCGGCCATAGCGGCAGCATACTGGGACGCTGTTCATGACTGGTTTGATTAAATTCTTGGACAGTGTAGCATACAGCTGCACTGAGTGACCTAGTGTTTATACCGTGCTGATTTATCCTTGTGAGATCTTGCTCCAAACGGGTTCTTTATAACCAGCTAGATATCGGTAAAGACAAATTTATACATCGCCAACTGAAATGCAGAAAAACGATTCAAAGGTGTATCTGATCAAAATATCTATCGATTTAACTGCGAATACCAAAGCTGTGTATGTAGGGGAGAGTGGGGTAAGATGCCCAGGGTGGGAAAGACGCCCCAACCCCTTTAGCGGCGAAACAAAGAATCGAACCTGGAAATTAATGTTCTTAGCGTAAAGCGGAAGCCTGCCTTGTTAACTGCACAAAAATTGGCGAAGCTCAGTTGGGCAACGGCTGGCTGGTGATTGCATGTTTTTTATTTGCTACTTTCAAAAAATATTTTGGTGTTAAAACATTGTAAATATCAAAGAAGGTAGATAATTTTTGCGTCCCTTGCTATAGTCGTGGTACATTAGCATGCGTGTACTGTGTCCCAAACAGTTTGTTTCAGGGTGTAGTTTTATGGCTAACAAATTGTACTGATTTAATGTTACTTTGGTACCTTGGGGTAAGATGCCCCCTGTCTTGATGGGGAAAGACGCCCCCCTAAATCCGTAGGCTGTCCGTCAAGCAGCCCGTCAAATCATTTATTACATACTTGTGATGAGAGACTAAAGCCGATCTGGGACTATTGAGAGCCGAGTACGGTCGGGTGCTCCCCATGACGGTCTCTCAGCCCACGTACAGCGACTTTTTGGGCGGCATCTGACTCTGAGAGCCCTCACGACGGCCTCTGTGGGCCCCATTATTGGCTCCAGGGCCCCTCACGACATCCTTTGAGGGCTCCCACGTTGGCTCCACGGGCCGCGCTGGCATCTGAGGTCCCCACGATGGGCTCGAGGGCCCTCAAGCATCATGAAGACCTTTAAGGGCCCCACAGTGGTCTCCGAACGCCACCACGGAGGCTTGTTTGGCCACGCTGGACTAGGATGGCCCTAACGATGACCCTTACGACTACTTTTGAGGGCCCTTACGATGACGTTTGGTGTCTACTGCAAGCTCGAAGGGACTACTGATTCGTACAGGCGATTCACGTGCCCATTTATGCCACTTATTGTGCAGGGGGCATCTTCCCCAACGCCAGGGGGCGTCTTTCCCACCCTGTGGGGTAAGATGCCCCCTTTCACTTCTTCAGGAAAATGCTTAATATCAAAAAAGTTATCATATTTCAGGCACGAAAGTGTGATATTTTTGGAGAAAAATGATGTCGGCTTCCGTTGAAGCTCCAAGTTTTTACTGTCCGATCGTCATTTTCGAATAATATATGACATAGCAAAACCCTGGGCATCTTTCCCCACTCTCCCCTACTCGAGAGTCGTGTACCGTTGTATTTCGGTAAGCAACACAAGGTGATTATTTCGAGACGGCTCGTTTAGAACTATGTAGGTCATTCCCTTTCTCACGGGTATCCTTTTACAACAGATGTGACGCCAGCGAAAGCGACAACCGCCTTTTTTTTTACTAAAACCGTGATCATGGGGCGATCCTGATAAGGTCGAACAGGGAGGATTTCGAAGACGACACCGGCCAGTGTCGTTCATCAGAACAATATTTATTTTTATAAGTTCTTGCTGTAATTCAGGGTCTTTGTAGAAAGTTTCTTTCGGACTGGACCAAGGTGTCTGTCTCGACCGATTCTGCCGGAAATGTTTACACTGTCATTGTAGACAGGTCGCTGTCACTCTATCACTGTCAAAACAAGACAATCTGGTACATTTGATTTTGGAGTTCTACTAGAACGGCATGAATAAGCCGGGATAACAGCCACACACTGTTTTGTAACTGGTGTAAGTGATGTAACTGATGTAAAACCGGTGTATGGTTTTAAACTGTCCAGTGCAACCGGAGGTCTGCATGGGCTTTCGACAGGAGTAATCAGCTGCGGCACAAACTTAACCACAATAGAAGTCCACCTCGGTAGTTTACACAATATACCAACCGCAAACTAACCAAGACAGGAAGCAAGTGGTGTCGCGAATGCATTATTTGTCATGTCGGTTGTGTCGATCGGAAAACTTCACACTCATACCGCGGAATAACGTGCTCCACTGACTCAATCGTTTCTTTGTTCCATGGCGTCCTGGAGCTCCGTGACCCCACCAAGGCTTCGGTAATATTCAGCAGCTCGCCTGGTCGCTGCAGGCATAAACCCAATCGTTTGACCGTCTATATAGTGGTAAGGTTTTCCATACGGGCACATGTGGGCCAAGTAACAAGTGATTGGGTTCTCCAAACGGCTTAAGTGCGTATGATGGGCCAGTGAGGGGTTCTGACTTCTGCTCTAAATATTCGCGTTATATAAGAAACGCTCATGGGTTATCGTTATATGCAAGCACCGCTCTTGCTACGCAGCACGCGTCCATTCAGCAGTTCCTGTCGCGCCGCCAGCCGTCTGGAGCCGCTGTTATCTGTGACGCCGCCGGATTTGACGGGTGTCCGCCGTCCAATCGCCGCATGAGCTCACCATTGCCACCGTATCTGACGCCGCCGGGGGCCCTCTCCGCGCGCATGGTGTCTGTGGCTCACACGCGGTCACACGTGCTGTGAGGTCAGGACAGGGCGGCTGACGAGCGGCGCCGCCCCCGCCCCCGCCCCCGTCCCCGCCGCGGGCGGACGGCAGTTGGAGGGGTCCGTGTCATGTTGTCCGATCTATGTCAGTGGTGGGTCATGTCAGCACATACCATCCGGTCCGGCGGTGATAATTTTAACAAGCTCCGCACCGCTATGGGCGCCGATGATAATTTTAACCGTCTCCGCAACCGCACTACGCTGAGGTCAGGGGAGACGATCATGTTCGCGCTAGAGGTCACAACCAGTACGCATTTTCGGAGGTTAATTACATGTCCTATACAGCACTACCGCAGCTGCCGTCCTGGACTCCTGATCCCCAGAGAAATCGCGAAACGCGGCAAGTTTTAAAGATTAATTATTTGTGTGGCTCCGGCCTTTCTCTCTCCCTCCTCTCCCTCTCTCCCTCTCCCATGACCCGCTCCGAAGGCGGATGTGGGGTGAGGTGATCACTGATCACACTCTCCGATCTATGACAGCGGGTGCGGCGGCGTGCCGGACTGATTGGCTCAACTGGTTACCGCCCGAGCTGTGTGGTCAGTATCTGGACGAGCGGAGCTGGTCACTGCTGGTCAGCTGAGGAGAGCCGGACGCCCGTCGACGTTCGGCTGCGGCCTCCGGCGCTCATCGGAGCTCGGTATTCGAGTCGGTGTTGGGTTGAGGTCTGATTGGATTCATCTAGCCGAGATCATGTGTTGAGATCCACGGAGGCCAGCAGCTCGGTATTCCTATCCAGTTGCTGGGCTCGCTCTTACATCCTTGTCAGGGACACCGACCGAGGATGAACCCGGGCGGGTTCATTGACCCTGTCTGGGGGCCGGACGGTCGGCCAGTCGGTCGCCTGGCCGGCTGGTCCCGCCTTGTCGCTTACTTTCACAATACGGGTCGGACGGCTGTTGTATGCGCCGTTGTAAATATGTCGCTCGCCGGCCGAGTTTAGCCCGGGGCGGAGGCGGTGCACGGCGGGGATCCCCGGCCCATTCCAACAGCACGTGCCGGGTGACCTTGGGGTACGGCTAGGCCCGGGCCAGGCCCAGAGAGTTAGTCACGCACCGTGACTCATCCCACGGAACTCGGCTGCTGCGCCGTCCAGTCCGCCGGGCCGACCGGTCAATTCAGCCCGGTAGCGGGTCTTTGTATTACTCAGTGGCGTCCCGGTCATTAATGGGGTGACGCCAATGTGCGACGCTCCGCCGCTTGTGATCCACTCTCAGCGGCGGCTGTTGGCGTTTTTGCGCAGCTCTCAGCCGGGCTCTCGCGGTGGCTGGCTCTCACTGGCGATCAGGTTACCGCACGGTGACATGGGTCGCACAGCCGCTCTGCCCGCTCGCAGATCCCAGGCGAGCGAGCCTGGCCCCTGGGATCACGGTCATCTGGAGGCGCACCGTGACTTGCGGGGAAATAGCGACCCAGTGCCTCAATAAAGTCAGACTGATTGATGGAAGTTTTCCAAATAGCGCCGACGCTCGGACAACACTGTCCATTATCGGGTCAAAAGACGGCATTTCTAAAGCGAAGGTGGACTGAGTCACATGGCTTAGATCATCTCCAATGTGCTACTGATCAGGTCGGTCCATGAAACTTAATTGCTGTGACCTACTTTCTGAATGACAGATTTTCTGCGGCAAAACGTAACCAACCAATGACTGCGCGTAAATCTTTGTTGGTTATTCTGTGGCAGTTCTTTGAGTCTTGAAGGCCATGACCTGTTCAATGTTCATCATATTATGTTGTGCTTTCACCCAGCGGCGTCATATAGGAAATCGTCTGGCTGCATCTCACTGCAAACCGGTTACTGCAGTGCTAGAACTGTACTGTGTAGTGTGCAGTGTGCAACGTGCATGTGTGAGAACAAATATGCAATGTAAGAAGCTCGCGCCATGTTTCCTCGTGTTGGCTCGTGTTGCCGTGCCACGTTCCCCCATGCCCTACCGTCTCTGACCGTTTACTGTCCGTTTCAGGAACGCCATCGCACCGCTCCGTCCCTGTCGGTCACCCCACCTCTCACCGCCGCCCGTCCGTCGCCCTGCCGATGGTCTCCGTCGTCTGACCCGCCCGCTCGTCGGTGACGGCTCCCGCCCGCCAGCGGCATGGAGGCGGTGTGCGGCGGCCGGCGGCCGGCCCGGTGGGACGACCCGTGCCGGCTGGACCTGGTCACCGCCGCGGCCGGCGTCACCTACTCACTATTGGTGCTGGTGATGGCCGTCGTGTGGCACACGGCGCGCCGGCAGCGGCGCAGCGGCCCGCCGCCGCCGCCGCGCCGCTTCAGCCTGCACTCGGCGCGCTGGCTGCTGGCGCTGGCCGTGGCGCTGTTCTCGCTGGCCGCCCTCATGGACGCCGTGCTGGCTGACTGGTACGCCGCAGAGAGACGGCCGCACGTGTGGGCCGCCCCGGCTGCCGCGCTGCTCGGCATTTTTGCCGTCACAGCACTCACCGGACTGAGTGAGCGGGATGCGGCGCCCGGCCGGCTGCTGGCCAACCTGCTCTATTGCGGGCTGGCGGCCGCCGTCGGCGCGTGCAAGGCGCACTTCTACCTGAGTGTGGACGGCCTGGACGTGCGCCACGTGCGGGTGCTCGCCACGTGGGCCACGATGTTCGTGTACGCGGCGCTCACGGCGCTCGAGGTGTACTTCGCGTTTGTGGAGGTGAGTACCGGGTGGGGGGGGGGGGGGGGATTTGAGTCAAGGTCTTGAGCTTGAGTCGGTGTGGGAAGGGAATCTCGGGTCATCGCAACAGCTAGTGCAGGGCTCTGCGTTTGGTTTGGAAGAGCTCAGGTTAGGTGTGTCTGTGTCAGCTCGGGTCAAGGCCATGGGACAGGTCTGGGTATTGGCTTTATTCGGGTGGGAGCGGCGAGAAAGCTGCGATATGTCGTTTACCGTTAGGGCTTACCGTTAGGACGATGCCAAATATCATGCGATCTACATTACTAAACATAGCGCAGGTTTTATGTGAGGAAGCAGATTGCCTGATCAAATTGCGGATTTCGCCAATGCCTCTAAAAATAAACACCGAGATCCATCACATTAATCAACTCAGTGAGGGATCGTCCCAAACCCATCTATTACCGCCCTCACTGGAGGCAGATCTCTGCTATAATTTAAATCGCCCTGACGCGTAGCAGTTCCGCGTACACTGCTGGTCGGTGTACCGTGTTATGGGGTCCTCTCGGGGTTAATGATGCGAGTCTGCACAATTCGTCACAGTCGACTCTGTCAGCCGTGCCGCTGCAGCCGGGAGGAGCACTGCACGGCCACACCCTGCACCGCTGACCCGACGACGTACGTGTGTGTAAACCATCGCTGCCATTGGCAGTGAACGGCGGAGGCCGGGAAATGTGCACCGAAACTTTCCCATGCCTATCGACGGTCGGTGGTGTTTGTAAACATCGGTGTGAGATGGAACTCTGGTCTGCACAGTAGCTGCAGCGTGGTGTTATGAATTCCGAATTTATGTTACTGGGCGGGGTGGTTGTAGTGATCGTTTGATTCAGGCCGCCACCGTTTGAAGACGGGAGAGCCGATGAATATTGTATGAGCTCGTTGAAACGTCACCGGATCTGACAGACGTGTTATTTGTTCGATGGAGCTAATGGACCCGTCACTAAACCATCACGGCGAACCCATCCCTCCAGCCTGATAGCAAACCACGTCTCTACAGCCGTCTCAGTACAGACTCCACCACGTAAGGCTTCACCACACAGCTCCTCGATCGACCTCCTCAATACTACTACCCTTCACACGAAGCAGGCTTGGTCGCCGGCTCGGCCAGTTTCCGTGTCCCGGTTTTCCGGTTTTGACCGCCGACTGTTCAGACCGAGTGGCCTGTATTTGACCGTGTTTGGTACCGACCGTTTTCCGGCCGTCCGTGTTTCGACTGTGTCCGCCATTCACTGTGACTGTGTGCTGGTCGGGTCGGAAGTGTACTGGGTTCCACTCGTCAGCGGCGGCGGCGCGGGGTCCGGCGCCGTCACGGCACGCGTCGTTCCATTCACTGGTGGGTCGGCGGCGGCGCCGACCTCCGCCGTGGGTCGGCGCCGGCCCCCGCCGCTGCCCCAGCCGCACTGAAGACTGTTTGGGCAGTAAAGGCTCGGTTAGATGGGTTAAACGGGCGGATTAGATGACCACTGCAGTCAGACGAAATGAAGAGGCGCTCTCTGGGCGGGTATTAATGCACTGTTGTGACATATTAATGCACTGTTGTCACCTAGAGCCGGAGCGTCTTCTGCGTCTTCATCTCCGAGTGGCCCTCGCTGGGCTGACAGACTAAACGAGTACTTCGCGTCGGTCGGCCCGAGCGTGGCCGCCGCGCTGGAGGAGGCGCAGCGCGTGACCGAGCCGCTGCCGCCGCGGCCGCCTCGCGTGGTCAGCGGCGCTTTCCGCGTCCACCCCGTGACACTGTCAGAGCTGTCAGCTGCCGTGAAACGTATGTCAGCGTCTAATGCGAGTGGTGGTGACGGTATCACGATAGGTATGCTGCGCATGACTTTCCCAGTGATAGGCCCGCATCTGTTAAAGGTCATTAACTCGTCGCTGGTGTCTGGAAAGTTACCCGCCGACTGGAAAGTGGCTCATGTCATACCGTTGCATAAGTCTGGCTCGATGGATGACCCGTCTAACTATCGTCCGCTGTCGCTCCTGTCAACTGTTGCTAAGGTCGCTGAGAGTGTTGTTTGCGGTCAGCTGATGACTTACCTGCTCACGCACAATATTCTCTCCGAGGTGCAGCACGGCTTCCGGCCCGGCCGATCCACGGAGTCGGCGGTGCTGGATACTGTCAGTTTTCTCATGGATGGTCTGGATGACGGTCTCATCGGTTCTCTCACGACCGCCGACACTAGCAAGGCTTTTGACAGTGTCCAGCATCCCCGGCTCCTGGAAAAGCTGGGCTGGTACGGCATTAGCGCACACTGGTTCCGTGACTGGCTGAGTGACAGGTGTCAGATGGTGCGGGGTGGTGAGGAGGTGAAGCCAATCACCCACGGCGTGATACAGGGATCACTTTTGGGACCGATCTTATTTTTGCTATTTTCAAACGATCTTGCGTCTTATGTCGACTCCAAAATAGTGATGTACGCCGATGACGTTCAGTTTTTACATCTAGCATCACCGAAGCGAATTTTAGAGCTCAAGACAGATACCGAATGTACTTTAGACATTGCGAGTCATTGGTTTGTCCAAAACTGCCTAAAAATCAACCCCAAAAAGACCGAACTGTTAGTTGTAAAATCACGTAGGAGGCAGCTTGACTTTGATTTTAATGTACAGTTTGGAGATGATGTTATTCAAACTTCCGCTAGCATTAAGGTATTGGGTGTAATTGTCGACTCTGGCTTGACCTTTGAGCCACATGTGACGGAGGTGATTCGCCGATGCTACGCCACATTAGGAGGACTGTGTAAATCTTCGCGATGCTTACCGAAAGAAGTGAAGAAACTGATCGTTGAGATGCTGATCTTCCCCCACATCCGCTACTGTTTGTCGGTCTGGTCGGGCTGTGGCGTTGTTCAGCGTCGCCGCGTGCAGCGAGTTATTAATCACTGCGCACAGGTGGTTATGGGAGCGCGCCGCTCAGCACACGTGACTCCGCTGTTGGAGGAGCTCGGGTGGCCCCAGATAGACGAGCTTGTGGCGGAGAGTGACTGCGGTGTTGTTCACTACTTGGTTAACAATACCAGTGCGCCGAGGTGTCTCTCGGAGCGGCTCGAGCGCCGCAGTGACGTCTCTAGTAGGGAGACTCGTGCCACTGAGAGCGACCTGCTCCAGCTGCCGAAACCCCGCACCGAGCAGGCGCGGCGGTTCTTCCGATACCGCGCCGTTGCACGCTGGAACTCACTGGCCCTGGATGTGCGTGACAGTAAAACGTCTGCTGGGTGTCGCAGGCGCTTTAGGAGGGCGCTTTAGGCTCTTATAATGTGTGATACCACGTCATATGTGCTGTACTTTTTTTTCCTTTAACATCTTTACCATTCAGCGTATATGTATTTATGTATTGACACTTGGACAGAATAGCCGTGAATACGGAGTTCCAAACGAAATAAATGATGATGATGATGATGATGATGATGATGGCTGATGCCGGTTTGGACGTCTGTGTATAGTCTGTGTGAGGGAGGGGCTGTGGTGGAATGCGACACCAGAGCTTCCTCACTGCAGCGTCTGCCGCGGTGGCCTTTCTGCAGCATTTTAGAACATACCGCTCGGTCAGTGACTCTTCAATAGCGGCTTGTGCCTGTTTTATCGTTCAACACCGTCGGCGCATCTCGGTTTGGGCCCCGCTGTGTGAAAATCAAATAAACCCAGACCATGCACGAATCAAATTATCGCTCTGAATAAGCATCTGTCAACACTATCAGTGTGTTGACATTGAGTTTCAGTCAGCCATGCCGTTTTTCATCAGAAGGCCTTCCGAATTGGATAACACCCGTCTGGTAGTTTTCACAGTGAAAACTGACGGCCATGGTCGAGTTATGCGCGGCATTTGACTCACTTCTGTAATGGCTCCCGCGAGACGTGCCCTGCCGTATTACGCAGCGGACTCTGTAAAGCCAAACATCTCACGGGCGTGTTTTGGCCTGGATCATCACAGGCTCTCATGCATCAGTCGTGCATGAGAGATGCGACGTAACGTTTGGGTTAGTCCAGAAAATTGTCCGTGGTTGTGACTGTTCTCACGCCTGTTTGCGCAGCGTCATGTCGAGCGTATTTCAGCGGTTCAATTTGCATTGGTGCTTTATAGCTGATGGCTCACATTCGATGTGGAGGAGAGATGATGCTGCATGTGCTGGACCCTGTTTGTGATTTGGGCTATAGGTGCATGATGTGGCGTAGTTGATGCTATACCGTCGTTTCCGTCTTTTAAATAGCCTATGTCATAGATAGCATGAATCATGCCAGCTAGGTCGGTAATTATGTCTGGGCTTGCGTCCATGTTTTTGATAATGCCTATATGCCTATATGCCCGTGCATGTCCGCTACTGGGACATGCCTATATTTTTTATAGGCATGATACAACGCTTTTTTGACGATGGCACTGTGTGCTCGCATCATTTTTTTTTTTTTTCACTCGGCGTATTTGCTGCGTAGTTGAGTGTGAGTGATATGGCATTTTTCTCTACAACTGCGTGACTCGCAAAATGATGTTCTGCATCTCGCAAATTGAATTTTGCGCGTCTGGTGTGCGTCTGCCCCGAAAACAGCGCACTTAGGCCGGACGAGCCAGTCATATCTAACCCTCAATTATCGTTATCAATATTCAATTTATCGACGGTCAAACTGATCATCTCTCACATAAACTGGCCTTGTGGGACGCGTCTGCGTCGCCTCACCAGCAGACTTGTAAACGACTCAAATTTTTTTTGAGTCGATTCTTTGTTTGAGTCTGGAAATTTGAATCGATTCAGCAAACGACTCATGATGTTAAATTTAATTGATTCGAATCAACTCATGACTCAACAAGTTCCTCGATAAAATGATTCGAATCAACTCATGACTCGAGCAACTAGCCAAGGGAATGATTCGAATCAACTCATGACTCACACATTTTGATGAATCGATTCAAATCAACTCATGACTCACACGACATTTTTATTGAACTTATTTCATTCAACCCATGACTCACTATAGGCATTTGTTGATTATTTGACTCA